TTGTTAGAAAATTTTCCCGAAGGAGTGAATATTAAATGCAAGCTTGTTAATGTTGGATGTTAATACACGGTTCCAGTGCGCGAGTGCAAATTAGTTATAGATTTAAATCCTAAATAAGACGAAAGCTTTATTCAGATCGAAATACGTTTTTGCTGGGATCTTTTATTTATAAGAGGCTTCATATGCATTTAGCATGAACCAAATTCAATGAAAATAATTTTCCAAATTAAAAACTTTGGAAAGAGCTATTAACTCGATATTTAGGACAATATTTTATGATTAATTAAAGAGTAAAGATATAACATCTTTTAGTTAATAAACAAAATGTATCTGATTTTGAGGGCTTAGATCGAAATATGTCTTATTTTGAGAATTATTATTATATTTCCGATTTTGAGAATATTAAAGAAATAAATCTACATTTTTGAATTTGAAGACACAAAGCTAGACATTAAACAGCATATTTTCGACTTTGAACACGTATTATAAATAAATATGTATCTTTGACTTTGAGAACATGAATATACTTATATATCTCTTTTCGAGGGCATCAAACAACATATTTCTGACTTCACAGACGTTCAATAAATATTGTAAAATATTTGTATGTCGCCATCTAATGACTATTAGACTAACGACAGTTTGTTAGTTAACAACGATTGCTTGACGATTAGATTGTTTATAGCAACGAGGGGAGAGTTTGTTTATCTCCGGTTTTTGACTGTGACTTGAGTTGACCGCACGGATTCTTTCTTTTAATGAATTGCTGTTGTTCTGACTTCGAGTCGGCCGGACGAGAAAACTAAAACTTAGTGGACTGTAATGAATACGAGCAGAACAAAGAAAAAGGTTGGATGCTAGAAGGTTCCTTAAAAAATAGTTCATTAACACCAAATTGTATGGGTTTTATAGTTTTTATTAACCAATAACACTTAACTTAACCAATAGAAATTAATAGTCACTAAAGTTATGTGAGTTGACTGTACATTTATTGTTCATATACTTATGATTTGTCTGCTGGTTATTTTTTCACCAAAAAAAAGTCTCACACAGTGAATAGCAACAGGCACACTACACACCTGAGTTGTTCGAGTGTGTGATGTATGTGTAACTGTCCGTGAGGCACTATGGCGTCGACGCCAGTTCAACTTCGCGCCCAAAGACACTACAACTGACTTTACTGGACCACTGGCACTGATGAGATTGATTATGATGTTTCAATTATGTTCACGAGAGTTGTCTGAGTCTATTTGACCGTATTTTTAATTACCAAGGGTGAGCTGACTGCAAAAAACTGCGATTTGACTGCGAAAATTTATACAGAGATGACCGCGTGATTTGCCTGGAGCTAACTGACGCCACAAGTGCTCGACCGCGTGCTTGTTGGCGTCACCAGGGCCGTAGAGTTGCCTTCTGGGCCATGAGGGAAATACTTCCCGATGATTGGTCCAGTGAGTTGACTGACGCGCCGGTGGACAAGTCCGGCATTAACAATTTCCAAATATTCTGAGACTTGCTGACTTGGGGCCCTCCAAGTCACAACAGCTGTCAATCATTAATAAACATTTTTCTTTATTTACTAATTTTCCGAAGTTGTTATTGAGTCTTATTTTACAATATATATACATGTACATATTAAGTTTGTTCTAGCTATTTTTTGCGTTTTATATTAAAAAAGTGGATCGCTAACGTGGAGTAAAGGGCAAAAAGTAACGTGCCACCTGTTAGATGATCCATCCTAGGAGACATTCTATCCCTATGAGTGATCATCTGATCAGATAAAGTAACATGGCACTCCAGTGGAGTAGATGGAGGTGTGGAATAGGCATTTTGGAGATTTGATGCAAAAATTAGTCTTAAGGTTGAAGAATTAGTTATAAGTTTGCAGGCCTTGTAGGGGAAGCCCTAATGCAGAGAAGAGGTTCCAGACCAACCAGGGACACGTTGAGGCGAGATTACGACATCTAATTATCCTCCGTTGCTCCTGTAAGTCGTATTGAGTCCAATTTTTGTAGGATTTTCAGTAGCTTGGTAAATTTTGAATGTAATATAATGAAAATAACGATTAATCTCCCACTTTTGGTTTGCTCTCGTGATTTAGTTAGTTATTAGGTTCAGTTCTAAAGATCATAGAGATTATTTGAGTTTTTATTTGTTAAGTTATGATTTTCATATGTTCAAAATTTTATAAAAGGCAAATTATTGAAGATTCAAGATTAAATTAATTAAAGAAATTGTCGAATGTTCCAGAACTTAGACTAAAGTCATTTGATTGTGAAATATTTGATTTGGTTGAAGCGTTGACTACAGAGAGATTGATTTTGGTTGAATTAACTAATATTACATGAAGAATTATGGTTTGAATACTTTGTGTAGATAAGAACCTTCAATTCCATCATTTTATTTGTGGTTTGGGTAATTTTATGGGGTACAGCCGATAAATTTCTTTGCCAGCCCTGACCCTCTCTCTACAACCCACGTAACTGAGCTCCTGGAGATCCCCTGTCAAGACATTTTTACCAGCAGCATCTTAAGTAAGTTAGCTTGAAGGTATTAGTTTAAGATTTTTTAGCCCTTCGAAATTTGGTGTTGGATTTCGATTTGTTGTAAGTTTGATCTAGGGTTAAGATTTTAGATGTAAGTTTTGCCAGTTTAGTTATTCTGGCAATTAAAATAACTTGGCGCTCGTCGTTTATAATTTTTTTTATAAGCGAACCAGGCATGTTAGTTGGTAAAATAGTGTCCTGGAGGAAGGTGAATATGGAGTACACCTACCCCAGTCGAAAAATATCATCATAATATATATATTAATGATTTTTTTTCTTATAACAAATCGTCAATTGCAAAAATCAACAATCTAAATAACAAAAGCATAAGTGTATGAATTAAATGAAATTTTAGAACCAATGCTGGAAGAAAATGTATGTTTCAGCCAAGTCTAAAAGTGGGTTGAAAATAGAAAATATTAGCAAAAGTAATAATAACTGAGAATTTATCCTTACAGAATGTTATCACTCTCTATTTCTTAGAAATAAATTTTTCTTGATCCCCTGGGCGAAAGTGTAGCCTTTCTGGCTGCTTTTCGCTCCCGAAACAACGACTTTTGTGGCTGGCTCGACTTAATGCGTACTTCGATTAACTAAAGGATATTTGTGGCTCGGAAATATAAACTATACTATTGAGGAGATAACGAATGGTTTGAGGATGTTTTCTACATAAATATTATGTTTATCTTCACTAGATGAATATGTTTAGAAAGTAATAGAACACAAGAAAGAAATAAAGGATAAAAGATACCCCTTATACTTTGAACATCTGCGAGCCGGGTAGTTTTTATTCAATAAAATAGCTAGTTAAAATAAAATGTAGTTAACAATTCTTAGTTAGTTTCCTGATCATGAATTAATGTATAATTATATAAAATATTTCAATATTTAATAATTTTAATATTTTTATCTTGCGATTCGTCAAAGGTGTCTGACTAGGGATCCTATGGCCCGGACCACCTGGGGCCTGACCAGACGGAATTATCCTGCAGACACCCGACTCCCTCAGGTTTGAGGGTGAGCCGGGGCTGCAGCCGTTTAGTCAAAATTTTTCATAACCGTCTCAAGATTCGGAAAGACCCAAGGATGACCGTTTTCTGCATACGAGTCGCGAGAATCTCAGCCTGACTATGGCAGACTGGTATTGTTTGAAGCTCTGTCAGAAAGCGGTTCCTCATCCCTCCGAGGGCGCCAATCACCAGGACTATCACGTACGCTGTGTATTCGTGATAGACATTTCTCATGACCTCCATGCGCTCTCTGTAGCGTTTCTGTTTACTCTCTTTTTTTGCACGTATATTCGTCTCAGCCAGGGCTAAGAACTCAACTCCATTTTTTATCATTATATTACATATTTTTAGGATTTTAATTTAAAATCTTGTTTTGGAATTTTTTGGTGGTAAGTATTTACTGAACGTACTTTCAGCGGGATCAATAAAAATATTATACAACACACGGCCAAAAAAGTTTAATTTTTGTAGTGTTCTCTATTGATAGAAAGTTTTCGGACATAATTTCTACAAATTGGGCCACGTCATATGAAATTTTTTTCAACTAGCTACTTTCTTAAATAAAGTCAAAATTGATTGTAAAAAAAATTTATCGTAAATTTTCATCTACAATATTACTCTTTAAATTATTTATAGGAAATTCGAAAAAGTATTTTCTCACACAATTTATCGAAGTAAAAGAAAAAATAGACATGATTTTATAAATTACATAGTACTCTATTTGATTTTGAAGTTTTGTGCTATTTAAAAATTTTTTGTAGTAATTACCAAAAAATGAGAATTTTTTTATTTGCAGAGTCATTTGGGACGTGTACATAGCGCAAAGTTTTACTTTCATCTGATGATGGAAGTTTTGGTAGGATACTTCAAACACTTGAAAAGAAATTTTGAATAAGATTTATGCTATCCAATGTTTATTAATATTTTAATTAAACGTTCCAACTACAATTTCTTACGCACACTTATGTATTTTTTTTTTATTTATTAATTGATAGAAACAATTTATGGTTTTGCGATTATGGCCAGTCGAACTTGGCGCAATGTTATGATTCTAAACATCTCTTGCCTGTAGAACGATTTGAAAAAATCGGACTTTCAAATAACAGTAACGTGGCGTCGTTTCTTTCATAGATACCGGATGATAGCTTTTTGGCGAATTTCACTTACTTTTTTTGGTAATTATCGTTATTTAAAAAAGTTTAATTATTTTGCAATTATTTTCTCAATTAGAATCAGTTTTTAGGAAGTTCTACGTGTAAGTACTGTGTACAGTCTTTTAGTCATCGTTTTTTAATATGAGAATAATACTTGCTTATCACTGAACAGTTTGTACATTCACTACCCATGGATTTATTTCAGAGTGCAAAAACTCAAAAAAATCAATTCTCAGTATAAGCGAGATGAGTATATTGAAAAGTTTAATGTAAATTGTATTTATATGTACCTCCGGTTACTCGGCATACTAGAATCAAATCTTCACCTTCTTCTTCTGGTCCAATAATATCCTGAATGACATGACCATATCGATTTAATATAATGGGTTCTTCAGGTAAAACTGTAAATAAGAAGCAATAATTAAGAATAAGTTGAGATACATGAATCTCTGACGAATCATGAATAAAATTTTTTTTTAATTATTCAGCACTTGAACTGGAATTCAAGTTGGCAATAGAATTAGCGATAATGCTATATTTATGAAAAAAAATTTTAAAAATACATTTAATTGTAGATCTATATAAATAACAAATTACCAATGACCGTTAAGTTATAATGCATGCTTCTAGTTTGTCCACGCCGGAAATCAACTCTACACCGATACAGAGCTGCATCATGCCTCTTGATGTCATCAAGTACTAACACAGCTGGATGTGACACCACAGCTCTGAAATACGCTCTCGGACCAAAAACATTTGCATCTGAAGTATGATAAGCATCATGTAGCCCCTTGTTCCGTACATCAACCCTGAAATCATTATAGTATTAAACTAAAGACAATATACACGATAAAATACCAATTAATTGTAATTTAATCCTATTTTACAAGGCATCAATTGTGCAATGATATTCTAGTTAATACTTTAGTCAGCACAGTTCATTACTTTTACTTATCTTGGTATTCCAAGAATACAAATTCCGCTGTACGTGCGTGCAGTGCAAAACAATTATAGTACAGAATTATGGGGGAAAAAAAATTTTACTTCGATAACATTTATTAATAAAAGGATGAAAAATTCTTGAGAATAAAAGTTTTAATGGCTTTACATGACTTTACCATTTAGTAGCTAAAACTTCAAGCTCTATCTTATAGAGATCAATTATGGAAAAATCTTCTGTCATTTTTTTAATTATTTTTTGCACTGCATGCATATACAGACTATTGATATATATTTGACTATTGAGTTTTTACAATGGTATAACTATTATTGGAAGAAGGCGTTGACTTTTCTGAGAGTAGGAAAAGTCAAAACCAATTAGCTTTGTGATTTTTAACTTGTTAAATTTTAGTGTTGAGACCTAATACTTCAGGGAGTACCCCTTCCATATTGGTGACACCTTAGCCTGAAGGTATCTTACTCGCTACGCACCGACGTCACCGGGCGTCATTACCTTCCTAATTGTTTCTACTAATATGTGTTGAAACAGTACAATTTCCTTAGAGTAATTCAAAAGGTGTTACAATAGGCATTGATTATCAATTTATTTTCATTGCTACAAAATTTAAGTTCTATTGCATGTATATAAGATACAGATAATTTATTACTTATTGGTAAAACTTTTCAAAGTAACATTAATTGTTTTAATGTTTCTTTCATAACTTTTATAGAATACTTTATTTAATTAAAATTAACATGATCATAAATTATTGATAATATTACGAATTTAACGCTAAGTAAATAATTAGTAGGTTGAGAAAAAAAATTTTTCTCAATTTAAAGAATATTACAAAATAATCAAATATAAGAAATATTTCAATAATGAGAGAATAATTACTAAAACAGTTTAATGTGGAGAAGTAATTGTTAATTACTTCTCAAAATTAATAAAAACAGACGGACGTCACACTGCTTTTTCTATCTATGTTAAATCGGAAGCATCATGTTGAAGAGTATCTTACTATGGTAAAAAGATTTTTTTTATCGTATTAACTATATTTTTTAGTGGTGCTGATAATGAATTCCTACTTTAATTGTATATGAAGTTTGTTGAACTCTTGTATTTTATCTCTTTGATCATTCTGATTGTCTGAACTTAATGTACTTGTAATATTTAGAAAATATGGGCAGTAACTACCTCTCATCTCCTTTACTTTATGTTATATATGAAAAAAAAAATTTTAAAAAGCATAGCATTGTAGATTGTATTATATTTTAATCTTTTTGACTGATTACTTGTGACCATTGTAAGATAAAGAAAAAATAATCTTTTTATTGTGTAACTATTTTCAATTTGCCATCAAATTTTTAATATGCGCGTTCTCCTCTTTATAGTACTCCGCCAAAGAAAACAATTAGGACTCAATTGTCATCACTAAGACTTCACCAACTCGGTCTTCATATCCACCTCATAACATTAACTCTGTACCTAAGTCTGTCCAGAAAGTTCGAGAAATCAAGTAAATGGGACTTGATCGATCTAAGGACATCACCTATATGTTGACTGTTTACTCAGGAGACTCTAAAGACAGCAAGAAGAATATACTGGGTGCAATTTCTAGCATCAAAGCTGTATTTATGACTATCTGTAGCGCTTATGAACAGTCTGTATTCAACCAGGAAGCAGTCAATATTACTGCAGCTTTTCTTGGCAGTCTTTTGCATTCTTGTGAGGAAAACCGTACATCTAAGCCGAAAGAAATTTCTACCTTCATTATGGAACAGTTCGAGCATCTCAAGAGCGAGGTGACCAAGGTTTTACTTACTCAGACTCATTCCAGGGAACCTGCAATATTGTGGATCCTTCGTCGGACTTTTCTTCTTTGGGTGGTAGTAGTCCCTACGCTGATACTCTTAATAAGCCAAAAGGTTCCACGAAATTTGTCAATTTATTGAATTGTGTGTCTCTTCCGATTTCAAAGGCCATTGAGATTTCTATTGTTCCTAGAGAGGATGAGATGATCTATTAGACTACGGTATGAAAGTTTCCAAGATCATCAGCGCTGAATCTACGGTGGTCCATGTGTCTGCAGAGTGAAGTTTTTGCTAAAGCTGGACTCAAGATCGTGACCCCTATATCTTACTAAAAAGCAATTACAGTCTATTTAGATCATTATTCAAGTTTCCTCAGAGATTCGTCGTCAACTTTTGTCCGCTGGTACTGTTCATATTGGATGGAACGCCTGTCGCATCGAAGATTTCCTACTTATCAAGTAGTGTATTATGTGTTTGAAGCTTGGTTATCTATCTATTCAAGCTATTCAAAAAGTGCCAGAGTGTAACTGAGATCTGCGGTTAGTGTTGAAAATTTCATGACACACACAAATGTCCAAGAGCAAATTCATCTTACAAGTATGCTACTTGTTTTGCATTGGGTCAATGCGGATATTCAACATATGGCTACAGATATAAAATCTCGTCCACTGATTATTGAGTACCCATGTCACTATCGAATCTTCACACTCGTGAAATAAAATATTTACCATCTTAATATGAGTCAACTCACTCAGTGAGACGGGCGGGGATGACAGCCCTAGTTCTGTCTCGTCTTTACCAATAGACTGTCGAATTTCCGAGTATGCGATGAATACTATTCTGCACTCAATAACAATGGGTCGGACCGCTGTCCAACCCTTAACGCATGCTCCAACCCCCTCGAGCAATTTAAATTCTGTAAGTGCATCATACGAGCCGCGACAATCTCAGCCTGACTACGGCAGACTGGTATTGTTCGAAGCTCTGTCAAAAATCGGTCCCTCATCTCTCCGAGGGCGCCAATCACTAGGACTATCACGTGCACTGTGTATTCGTGATAGACATTTTTCATGACTTCCATGAGCTCTCTGTAGCGTTTCTGTTTACTCTCTTCTTTTGCACGTACATTTGTCTCAGCCGGGGCTGAGAACTTAATGTAATATACGTGCTTGGTAGTATGGTTGAAAAAGTGATATCCGGCTTATTGTGTTCAATGCGTTGAGACGTAGAGAGTGGGTAATTCCAAAAACTTTTTACTCTCCCGTTCTCAACGACTGACTCAATTTCACCAGGCACATAGGGCAGCACTGGTGTCTCATCTATTCCATAAGAGTGCCGAAGGTGATAATACAGCACTCTTAGGGTGGCGTTATGCCAGTGAATGTAGGCTGAGCGCGCTAATATCGGACAAGTCGGTAACACATGAAATAGCGTCTTATCTACATCAGTGTGGCAATCTCGGCATCTTGTGTCTTTGAGTTGCTCGTGCATAACATCAAGCCGATAGGCGAGGGTAGAAATACACTATCTTGGCAGGCCATAATGAATCCTTCGGTATCAGAGAACAAGCCAGCTGACTTAAGGTATTGGAAAGTTAGCTAGTGTGACAAGTCCTGTGTCTCGAGATGACGATAAAACACACCATGTAAGGACTTTGTTACATGTTCGTCGAACAGTTTTAACTGCTCGGTCGTTTTATATAGACCTTTTGCTGCTCTCTGGTCGATTGCAAAAGCCTTAGACCGTCTGGGCTGCTAGGGTCGCAAACTGAGCCGAGATTCTGCGCTGCCTGATCTGCTGCTCTATATAGAAACGCATCCCTTCCCAATGGTTCAAATCTGTTTACGAACTTGATAAGAGGATTAGAGCTCTTATAGATGTTATAAGCTAGGCCTATCACTAACCTGTCATGTAGACACTCCAAACTTAGTAGTTCACGCCATCCTATTATCGGTGTAAAAAGTATAGGCCCCTCACTTTCAAAAGCGATATAAAAAAAAATAATAATCTCATTAAGTTGCGTGAGGAATCAATGGAAAGAGAAACCGATTCTACAACTTCTCTGAAAATTTCAATGCAATGAATTAAAAACTTCGCGAGTTACAGAATTTTTTAGAGTAAAAAACCATGTTTTTAGAGGTCAATTTTTCATGAGGGAAGTTTACACGATCGTAGCAATGCGAAAAATATAGGGATCGAATTGAAAATTTTATCGTAGTTAGGGAAGACGTTTAAAACTCTTTTCAATATTAATATTAAGGAATAAAAATTGGCAGATTAATAGAGAATAGTCTGATCTATAATTCCATCTACTTAAAATAATTACTAACCGCGAATTAGCTCGCGGGCAATTATGAAAGCATCAATTTAAGAGCAGAAGGTACAAAAACCCTGCATTTTCCGTACTTCTCAACATCTGTAACTTTTTTTAATATTAATATATTTTGCCTACTCTTGGCAAAGAGTTACAGATTTTTGAAGGTGAGAAAATCATGTTTTTCCTCAAATATTATTAAGAAAAGTGTTATGAATTTTTAAAGTCCCAGAAATCATGCTTTGGGACCTTAGGGAGCAAGTTGATGCTCTCAAGAATTGCCCTTGGGGTTTGAATATTATTTTTAAAGAATAAAAATGGCTTTACATTTTTTATTTAACTATAATATATATGGAGATCAATTTTTATTCCTCAATTGTTATAAAGAAAGGTGATATGAATTTTCAAAGTCCTAAAAATAATGCTCCGGGACCTCAATTAGCAAGTTGATGCTCTCAAGAATTGCCCTACGGGTTGAAAAATAATTACTAAAGAATAAAAATGGCTCTATATTATTCATTTAACTATAATTGATATGGAGATTAATTTTCATTTCTTAATTATTATAAAGAAAAGTGTTATGAATTTTTAAAGTCCCAGAAATCATGCTCTGGGACCTTAAGGAGCAAGTTAATGCTCTCATGAATTGCCCTACGGGTTTAAAAATAATTTTCAACGAATAAAAATGGCTCTATATTATTTATTCAACTATAATATATATGGAGTTTAATTTTTATTTCT